TATTTTCAACTTCAAATTTTTATTTTTAAACTCTCCCCGGCCAGCCCCCTCTACCAGCCCCCACCCACCCCCAACCCCCAAAAAAATTAATTTTGTTTTTTAAAAATACTATCTTCAAATTGTGAACAAAGGAAGTAATTTTTAACTACACTAAGAGTGTGTTTGGTACGAAGGAAAACATTTTCTGGAAAATGCTTTTCAATTTTTCCATGTTTGGTTGGGACAAAAGTTTTGGAAAATTTTTCCAAATCAACTCATTTTCCTCAAAATAAAGAAAAATGACTTCCCTACGAAAATTAAGGAAAACATTTTCCATAACTCCCTTCCAATTTCAAATTACATTTTTTTTTTGGGAAAAAACATCAATTTTAAAAAATATATTTTCAATTTCAAAATTTTCTTTTTTCATCTGATCCCTGACCCTCCCCCACCGGCCAGCCCCCCCCCAAAAAAAACCCCACCCCCTCCCCAAAAAATTAATTTTGCTTTTTAAAAATATTTTTAACTTCAAATTTTTCACTCCTATCCCCTCTCCTCTCCCTCCCCACACCCCACACCCCACCACCATCCCAAAAAAATAATAATTTTGATTTAAAAAAATATGTTCAATGTCATAAATTATTTTTTACTCTAGTAAAAATAAAAGATGTCTCTCAAAAACATTTTTCATTCATAAATCAAATACTAAAAATCAATTTTGTAAAATATTTTCCACTCACCAAACAAACATGAGAAAATAAATCCAAAATCTACTTGTTTTCGAGAAAAACATTTTCTAGGAAAAACATTATCCATGAAAAATATTTTCCTCCATATCAAACACACCCTAAATGCCCAAAAGTAGTACTCCCCTCATCCCATTTTATATAACAGATTTTTCTTTTTTAGTTCGTCCCAAAATAATGTCAATTCACTATAATTAAAAAAAATTATTTTAAAAATTCTCTATTTTATGTTTAATGAAATAATTTAGAATCATACAAATATGAAGATCCTTTAAAAGTAAAAATTTCCTTAAAATAATGTATCAAAAGGACAAATGATAGCAACATAAAAACACAATCAACTATACAAAACTTCCAAAGGATCATTCATCATTGAGACATAAAAGCAAACACCTTATCTGCATACTCATACCTGTTGGGTAATGGTGCTTCCGCCACCACGAGACGAGAGTGACAAAACAGCACGAGCAATACCAACTGGGTCGACGCCAAAATGGCTAAAGAATCGTCTATCCTCATAGGCAACCACAGCTCGGATCAAATGGTGTGGACAACTACTCATCACCTCCGATTCAGCTTGTTTAGAGAATGCAATGAGTCGACTCCATCTTTGAGGAAACTCAGGAAGAAGAATAGTGGAAATTATACGAAGGGAAAGAAGAGTGAATGAGAAGATTATAAGAATGAAACCTTTTGTCACAAATGAATGGGGATTTTCGTGAGTATCATTGTAGGAAGATTGGGAAAAGCAAAGTTGGAACTGCGAATGATGATTGTAAAGAGAGAGTCTATGGAAATGGATTAATGGGTTGATTTTCTTGAATGTTCTCACAGAGGGTACATTCATGGTGAGTGTTTGGTTATTGTGTTCCGCCATGACTGTCCATTGATTGAAGATGGCCAGTGAGGTCATCTTCTAAGATATCAGTTGGTTCGATAACAAATTAACAATTATCAGACTACATATCGATTAACCTCTAATTTTTATTATACATTCTTTAGAGAAAACATTAGATAATTATAAAATGGTAAATAAGTTTCTTTAGGAGTTTGAAACTAACGAAGGAAAAATGTATAACTACTCTTACGTATTAGGGTAAAATATTAATGAGGCTAATATAACTAGAATAAAAATGTAAATATGATTATTTTTTTACGATTATCTGATAAAGAAATTGAATAATCTGTTCACACACAAATAAATCGTTAATTGTAAAATTTTAATTTGTTAATTTCTCAATCGTTTATTCGATAACACAATATCAATAAGTTAATTTTGCGATTGACTTATCGATAACTATTAGCAAATAATGATGTTAAACAAAAATTGCAGGTGTAGTTTAAAATAATGTTCTGCATGTTTGAACTTAACTAGTTGATTAGATCATATTGTTATTATCACCTTGTTTGTGTAGAGTTTCTACTAAGAATTGCAAACACATGGATTGAAATAGCTTTTATAATAGGCTATTAATAATCTTTACATGAAACTCTTGCAAACAATCTACTTTATTTACACGTTAGAAGTTCAGAAATTTGGGATAATCCAAACTCATTTGAACTCGAAAAAAATAAATAGTTGAACCTCTAATTTTAATTCTAACATTGGCATCAAAAAGATAATTCTATTAAACCACCAAAAAAAAATATGATTGCTTTAAATACACCAAAAACTAAAAAGATGATGGTAGTCTTGATACCAAAAGCAAACAAAGGGTAAAATTGAGTTATTTCTGATAATTTAATGACGATTTTCCCCTTTTTTGCCACGATGAATTGTTATGTTACCAAAAGAATATTTTTGAAACCAAAAACATACAGAGAGTAAATGTAAACTTGACCCTATTCTTTGTAAAAAAGAGAAAAAGAAAAGAATTCATCATACTTTTAAACTTGCACAAGATAGTTCAAAAATGTTCTCAATAAACACTTGAATAATTATTGAATTTTCCTTTTACGAGATCCTATAAGACAAAATCCCCCATGACATCTCAAGAAAAAGAACTAATCTCTATCAAAATCATATTGTACATATTCCGTATATGCCTTCATCAATTTAAGATCCAGCATGTTGCGGGTTTTCCTTATCATAAAAAAATAAAAGAATAAAAAAATTTAAGATCTAGCCTCTATAAAAACCCTATTACACCATTTCTATCAAAATTTCTTAGCAGCATGAATGATGCCTACAAAATTTTAGTGACGCGATTATTTTCACTATGATACAATTAAATAACAAACTACATGACAGTAAGAAACAGAAAGGGAAAAAAAGAATGGAGTTTTACTGCACTCAGTAATCTCCTCTCCTACTAGCGACAAGGTCGCTAGTGATATCATCCTCTTCATTTTCACATTGTTGCAGAAATTCTTTGTAAGACTCATTATAAGCAGTAGCCATTTGCAGATAAGTAATTGCATCATTCTTGCGGCCAACATTCAACAACGTACTGGAATATAATCATGTACCAGTTTAATCAATTGTAGAATTGGAATAAACAAGCGGTTTTCTAGAACTTGCTTTGAGAATATAGACCACGAATCAAGAACTAAAACAATCATTTACCTTGACAGTAGTACTAATCCTTCGTAGTAATGGGCCTTGCTCTTTGGGTCGTCTGGCTCTTTCAACATGGCTAGGCGTTCCAGGTGTGCAAGTCCCTCTCCCATCTTACCCTATAAAAGAAACGGAATGGTTAAATATCACTATGAGAAACCTACTTCCAGTATAACTCTGACTTGAACTAGCCTAGATTTCTGGTTTGGCTCAAGAAAGGAGAGCCCTTGAGATATCCAATGACCGAGCCCAAAAATACGGCAAGTCAAGCTCAAAACATCACGAGGAAAATAGAAGTTGGGTCCAACTAAGCTCTACTCAGAGAGCAACTTAGACAGTAATCATATTTAGAGGGCATAAACAATGTCTCGAATCCTTAATATGAAGATTCAAGAATAAAAAAAAAAAAGGAATTGAAGACTACATTAACCAATATTCTGGAGGTGTCAGCAGCCTTTCAGCTTCATCCACCATCCAAGCAAACTCCAGGCTCTGAGAAATCAGCCGACAACACAACCCACATTCATATAATTTGTTTGATTCAACCTTAATTTGAGTCCAACAAGTGGGATGAGGAAAGAAAGGGAGCGAAATTTAGCCAAAAGAGATTTTGAGAACCGGTATTCTTCAGAATTCTTAATGCTGGAGACCTCCAAAAACTTATGAACAAATTGTGGTCTAATACAAACTAATTACGAAGACCCTGAACTGATCAGCTTCCTCTACATTTGCTTCCTTACACTAAATATAAGGTTTATAATACATTTCCACTTATTCATATCAAACACATGCAAGTAGAAGACACCTTTCGATGTAAGTTGAGGCTGGCCTTAGGCTAGACTTGGGGTCAATCCTACGAGGAATGATGTCGACACATTGGCTACCGCATCTTCATCTGCACCACTTGGTCCGTCACCTGCAGAGGTTGGAGAGAAGGGGTATTTATTGGGCCTTATTTGGAGATGCAGACACTACTTGTGCGGCTGGAAGGGATTGGCGAGGGTGCTGAGGAGTGCGAGCGACGTGCACTCGAGGCGGCTTGGCGATAGTGAGAATGCAAGACTGGAGCGAGTCCGGCAGCAGGTAGCTGGAGCTTCGAGCTCGGAGCACTACAGATGGTTCTTCCCAAACTGTTATAGAGGCACACATTAATGCACCGGGGTCTCCACCGACGGACCCCCAAGCCTCTAGCTAGTTCTTTGGCACTTAGGTGCCACAGGTTTGTTTTCACCCTCAGTTCTTTATTTTTAGTGCAATGGGACATTGCACATTGTTTTAAGTGGGGTGAGATAGATCTGTCTAAGAGTGTAAAGGATGAAGTCCGAATAGCCTGAACACTCTGATCATGCCTAGGGATTTTCTTGCCTAGGTTCTTTTTCAACCAAGGACTATTAAATTACTGTTGAACTGGGCATGTTTAGGATGTTGATTGTGAAAGTCAACTAGAAACAAAAGCACGATAGCAGTATTGATGAGATTAATATCCCTCCAAATTAAATTCTGTGTGCTTTGTGCTATATTTGTGTTATTAATTAGCGAATTGTGTAGGATCTTTGCACAACATGATAGGAATTGATAGGATAACATGACTTAAGTTGGAGCATGAACCAGATACTCCGATAATTTGATAGTGAAATGATGTGCTATGTGGGTGTTTGTTCATTCATACGATATGTGTCAATCTAGAAACTTGCCCCGTTAGTCTTGCTAGGATGATTGAACTGTTAATTAGGGAAGGACATAGTCATTGTTAAAGTTAAGTCCACCAAGCCTAAAAGCAACCAACCTAATAAAGAGCTCCCTTTGATCCAAATTTGTAGTGCCTTAAATAGACCGTTCTTTCAATATACCCAATTCACCTCCCCTTTGTGAATGTTAACCTTTGTTTTGGCCCTGGTTCCTCCTTGTACATCGTGCACCTCAACTCAGGCTAAAAGCCTAATTAGAGGGTGGCTACTATAGAAGAACACAAGAAAAGGAAGGGTTATGAGAAGAGTTGTGTATTGAGAAAAGAGAAGATAATTAAGACGGTGTGGCTGCCGAAAGAAAATAAAAAGATAAGAGGATAAAAAGCTGAAGAAAAGTTTGAAATGGAAAAAAAAATGAGTCAAAAGCCACACTGAGCTTTATTGAAAAATAAAATGAGGAGAACAGAAAATAGAGGTGACACAAGTATTGGTTGTAAAAGAAGAAAATAGTCAATGTAATGTCAAGAAGGCCACAAAGGCCACTTTAAATCTAAATACACCAAACCTAAACCTGAGCCTGCAAGCTAAAAAAAGTCCTATAGTTTTTTTTTAAAAAAAAAGTCCTATAGTGATCCTAATTTAACGGTTCGAGAGTCTAAGTAGAAGATAAGGGCAAGCCTACGGCCTTGAGCATGTATTGTATTGAATACAATTGTGAGAGTGAGCGTATACCGAGACCTTGAACTTGAAATACATGTTGATATCTCTATGAAAAATAGGACTTCTTTGCCGCAGGGGCACAAGCTACATTGTCGAAACGTCAATATCTTGGTAATTGTTATCTGTGTATGTGAATGTATGGATTATTGAGGAAAAGTCCATGTGATTGCTTGAAGACTAGGTTTACTTTTGCATCGTGTCCTTTTTGTGTTAGTAAGTGTCGCTTAAGTTGAGAGTGTCAATTGTATCGGGGATTTACAGTACTTATTATGCTTTAAACTTGGGGTTTCACATGTTTAAGCATTTGTTAGTAGATTCGATGGTATTTTACGTGTGTTTTGCAGAAATTTCTACGGTCTGCATTCTGTACTCGTAGACTCCAGGTTTCTAAATTTTTCTAAGTGTAGAGTCAAACTACGAAGCCTTCTACGAATCATAGGATATCCTACAGCCCGTACGGGCTTTCGTAGAACCCAGTAAACATAAACAAAAAGACCCGACCCAAACCCTCCATTTCAAATTCATTCCCCATTTCCCGTTTCCTAAATCGTTTCAACTGTTACACCCTCTGTTTCCCAACCTTTCATCATCCATCACACCACATTAAAAACCCACAAATCCATTATCTTCCTGTTCTTCTCCATTTTCCTTTTCTTTTCTTTCCCACAAAATTCTCATCCTCCATTTACAAGAGAAAGTCGTGGGTCACAGACAGTAGGAGTTAAGGAATTCGAGTCATTGTCAAAATCAGACACAATCACAATTTCACTGAAAAGGTATGGATGTAAATCTTAAGAGTACCAATTTTGATGTTGAAATTACGTTGTACTTAACCTAGGGTTGAATTTATTGTGTTTCGCGTTGCTTATAACAAATGATGATGTTGAACCCTGAGAATGATGAATTGTGAGTGTTTGTAGTGAAACTAATGTGTGTCCATGATTAGGAATCTTGTTCGGTTGTTGGTTTGATTAATTTGTGATTAGAGTGTGAAATAGGCACACTGACCTGGGTTGTTTGCGACATACGAGGGTCTTCTACGGACCGTAGAAAATTCTAAAATCCATAGTTGCCCCTTGTAGACAAGTCCCAGGTATCAGTGTTGTCT